GGTCATAATTGAATTCCTAGAACATAGAACTCGTTTAACTAAGTTCAATTTGTGTAGAGATATGAAATTTAATTAGTTGAATAGGCTCAATGAGAACTCGAGAGGGGTAAATTGAATACAACAGGAGAATTCGATCGAGCACTACATTAGAATTGAGTTTTAATTTGAGATGTAAAGGTGATCAATTGGTGAAGGTATTCTGCCCTAACATCCATTCACTATTTGATTCTTCAACCAATCGTGTGAACATCCATTTATTTTCTAGAATTTAGATTAAAACTCAGGTTTTACAACTTTTAATTTGTTTTAGTCAAATAGTAGTTAAAGAAAAATTGAATTAAGTACTAGAAAATAGTCCTTGTGGGATCGACAATTCGGACTCTTAGGTCCACTATTACTTGTTACGGGTCGCACACTTGCGAAATAAAAATTTACAACAGAGATGAGCACCACGATTGAACAAAGTGCACTATGGGAACTTACTTCGAGTTAGAGTGAAAAGACTAAATCATATGACTTGTCAAGAAATGTCATGGACGTCACCTTGATTAAGCTATGGGGCCCATCATGTGTGAAATTTCACATGTTAACCCCCCGCTATTATCTCCACCTAGGGGTGGGGACACCTACTATCCAATTTGCAGTTCCAATGATTTTTCTTTATTTTATCAACTTTTTAACATACATGGCAGCTAGATTTACTTGCATAATGTGATGATAAACCAACGTTTTGATAAATTTATTTATTTGTTTCAATTTTTATTACAGAGATCAAGCTTTTTTTCATTTTCTTTTGAAACAAACAAGGCATGTTCAGCACGGAATCATGGTCCTTGTCCCTATTACAAAGTTGCTTTTCAGTCCAATTGTCACCTGGTAAACTACCCTGAGCCATATTTTTGACAAAAATGAGTTTTGTAATAGTAGATTTTTGAAGATTGTACGGTTAAAAAGTTAGAAAAAGTTTTGAATTTATGTGTAAATTATTTTATTGAAAGAATGTGTGATTAAAAATAAGTTTTAAAAAATTGTATTTTGAGATAATGGATCATGTTATCTGTATATTCTCCTTTATATTAAGTTTGACACTCTTCCATATGACATTTATCAAAATAATCGACTTTCACATTTTACTTAGTGTCCTGATTTTGACACGAAAGAAGAATGTCGAGAAAAATGTAACCAACAATTTATATAGAATAATGCTTCTTGTACAGAAAGGCGTTCGCAGAAATGTTCCAAAAATTTAAAAGTTTGGTTATATGGCACAAAAAGCATGTGAAAGCACAGAAAGCTGGTCTACTGCATTAATTATTGAATATTTTATTCTTGTTCAAAGCACGTGATTTCTGGTCAATTTTCATTTAAGAAAGAATAGAAAACATAAAAACAAAACAAAAGAAAAGGACAAGCCAGGAGACCACTCCAACCCGCCTAATTTTTCCCGCCCTTTCCAGTGAGTTTAGCTCATCGCTTCCAGATTTGAGATTTTATCTTCTCTTCCCAGATTTTCTCATCTCACCCATTTGTACACACTGACCAGTGACATCGACGGCAGCTACTTCCCAACAAACTGGACCATGAACCATGGTGATGACCGATTTCGGTGACCTTGAAAACTTGTCTTCACCAACTTTTGTGTACCCCCCAAGTGAGCGACAAATCTTTTTGTTGGTTTAAATCTTGTTTTGTAAACTCTTAATATACTGTCAAAATGCTTTTTAACCTTTTTGTATTATACTGATTAAATGTTGTTTCATGCATTTAACTCCATTTTGACTTATTCCAAGTTTAATGCATTTTGACTGAATAAATGTTGTTGTTTCGTAAACTCCTAATAGACTTATTAAATGTTGGATATCAATTTGTTCTTTATAACCTTTTTGTATTATACTATCAAGATGGGAGATTAATGCACTTGGTATGATTTCTAATTAGGGAGTAGATTCATTGTGGACGTTATAATGTGATTAATGTATTACTCTTGATGCAACCAAAATTAGATGCTTCAGGTCCAGCCAAAGAGATGACCTTTACATTATATTTTCAATTGTTTTTTTGACTGGAATCCATTTATGTTTTGCTCAACCTTGCCATTTATTGTGTAACTGTAGGAGGTTCAATGGAAGAAGTACGCGATGAATTTTTGGTAGAGAGAGGTGTTGACGAGAATGTTGTGGGCAATGTGATATCAGTGGAGAAGTAAATGGTAGGTAAAGATGTTTCGATGGTGCGTGAGGTGCCGGAGGTGGGCATGATATTCAACAATGAAAAAGAATTGTGGGATTTCTACAAAGGATATGCATATCATGTAGGTTTTCCAGTTTTAAGAAGGAATTCCAAAAAGGGAGACGATGAGAAAATTAAATATGTGACCTTAACATGTAGCCGTGAAGGTCACAGAAGCACTGTTACAAGCGATTCTTTGAAACCCCAACCAACAATTCAAACAGATTGTAAAGCTAGGATCACTGCATTTTCGATGCTTTTGGAATATGGAGAATTAACACAGTTCACCTCGACCACAACCACAAAATAAGTCCTTCGAAGTCGAGTTGTATCGTTGCAATCGAGAGTTGAGTTCACAAGTAAAACGAAAGCTTGAAGTGAATGATATGGCGGGGATTCCTTTGCACAAAAGTTTCAACTTTGCAATGGTTGAAGCGGGTGGATATTAAAGTATGACTTGTATAGAAAATGATTGTCGAAATTATATTGAACAAATAAAACGATTAAGACTCGGTGATGGAGATGCCACAGCGATACAGGCCTACTTTTCCAAGATGCAAGCCCAGTGCTCGGAATTCTACTTCAGTATGGATTTAGATGATGAGTATAGGCTGAAAAAAAAATTTTGGGCTGATAATAGGTCGAGGCAAGCATACAAAGATTTTGGTGATGTTGTCACATTTGACACCACTTATCTAACTAATAAGTACAATATACCGTTCGTCCCTTTTGTTGGGGTTAATCATCACGGACAATCGACACTTTTTGGTTATGGTTTGTTATCGAATGAGGACAGGGGTACTTTTGTATGGCTAGTTAGGACATGGCTACAGTGCATGTATGGAAAAGCTCCCCATGAAATTATTATCGATCGGGATAGGGCGATGCAAAATGCAGTTCAGATTGTATTTCCAAATATGAGGCATAGATGGTGCTTGTGACATATTTTGAAAAAGTTGTCAGAGAAGTTTGGATACCACGTTGATAAAGCTTCCATTTTTTCGACTGTACATGAATTAGTGTATGATTGTGAATTTGTTGACAAATTTGATACAGGTTGAAGAATGATGATTGATACGTATGAGTTGCATAGTAATGAATGGTTGTTGGGACTGTTTGATGATCGAGGTCGTTAGGTTCCCTGCTATTTTAAAACAAGACGACCTTGAAGTAATTTGTCGAACAATATGAAAGGGCACTGAGAAGTAAGGTTGAGAAGGAATTCTAGGACGACTTTAAGTCATTCTCACTAATGGTATTGTGTACGACGACTTTCGAAATGGAGAAGCAGTATCAGAAATGTTATACCATCGATAGGTTCAGGGAGTTCCAAGCCGAGCTCATTGGGAAGGTTTATTGTGATCTCATATCTACTGCAGAAGGAACTTCGAGGATGATGTACGACCTACACGAGGTTATCATGTCTGATGATCGACAAAGGATTAAGAAGTTTTTTTTATCTCATTTCAGAGAGACATTTGTGAAATTGCTTGTAGTTGCCACCTGTTTGAGTTCCGAGGTAGAATATGTTGGCACGCTATCGCTGTCCTAATACGTAATGACATCACGTCATTGCCAAAGAGATATATACTACGGAGATGGAGAAAAGATATTTGTAGAGCACACACCAGGGTTACAGTGCACTATGATGGGTTGGTTAGTACTCCTGAACAATTAAGATATGTCGATTTGTGTCGGTCTTTCGTAAAGGTTGCAAACCTCGAGGCTGATGATGAAGTGCGTTCTCATGTGATAAAAGAGTGGATAATTAATCAAAAACAAGAATTGATGATGATAAAGTCAGATTGCGGTAGTAACATCATTTCGCAACACACTATTCAGTTAGCATCGAAGTGTAATGAATTCGTGAAGGCGTGCAAGCTCCTATATCATAGAAAAGAAAGGGTGAGCCGAATAAGCTTTGGAGAAAAAGCCCGTTGGAGTCCTCTTCAAAGAAATCAAAGGTGTGTTGTGATAATTTGTTTTCGCACCTTAGATAATATTCCAGTGCACTTACTATTTAATTTTTGTGTATGTTTAGGCAACAACGACGTCAACGAGAGGAAAGAGGTTAACATCCAGGCACAGTAATAGACCATCTGTTGAGGCCGTTGGGCAAGCAACTCCCCAACATTCTATGCAAACACCGTTAATGGCAACAAATCTTGTATTCAGTTCTCAAGGTTTAATGCATGTTTGAACTTGTATGTTCGCATTTCATTAGTTTGTATGTGTTCTTACATTCACATTGTATGACAGGTCATTCGAGTCCATGCAATCCACATTTTGAGCAAGACGGTGACCTCCCCGACCTCTAAAGCAAGTGGATTCCAATTGTTTGTAATGATTTCAGCTTGCTATTGTCTTTCTGACCGAAAGTAGCATGGTGGTTAATGTATTTTGAATACTTATGGGAATTGCTTATTTGTATCAAACTCGGTATTCATTAGTATTTGCCAAGTAATTCCCTGTTTTTGTTTTTAATTGAACTAAAGTTGGTGTTTTCTTTCTTTTTCGATTTGCCAGAGATTTGTCTTTATGCATGTTTTGGGTTGGAAAAGAGGTGTTAACTTTGGTGGAATGTAGCTTTATCTTGATTGAACTATTAATGGCTTTAGCCTCATTTCGGGTTTAAAAGGTGTCTTGGTTGAACTATTAATAGCTTTCCTAAGAAATTCTGAGTTTGATTTTGTGACAGGTTCATAATGAAAGCTGAATGCTTAATGTTTCGTTCCATTACCCTACATAAGACACTCAATCAACACATATGGAAATTATCGAAAATGCACTCATTATTCAGCAACAAGATTCAATATACATAGACAGTGGAAGTCATTTGCAATTAGCAATAGGATTTGGTACACACTAAAAGTAATCAAAAAGCAACATTGCAAGAACAAAATATAACTACTCATTTGGCCGACCCCTTTCCTTTTCCATTATCTTTCGATGGCTCTTTGCACTTGCGAAGTGTCAGATTGAACGAAATTTCAAGGTTTCGTTTCTTACCTATTCGACCTAGACTTTCGAACATGCTTGGCAAATCCTCAACAGTAGTCGACTCGTCGATTACTTTATCAATGGTAGTAGACTCACCGATTGCTTCATCAATGGTGCTCGACTCACCGATTGCTTCATTAATGGTGCTCGACTCCCCAATTTCTTTTTCTACCTTTACCCTGTGACAATATCCACAGCCAACACTGCAAGTTCTGAATAGCCGTTCTTTACTTTTGCCCTTCTTTTCAACCTCAAAACATTTCTAGACTCCATCTACTCACCATGGACAACGAAGTTTTTTCTTGCATTCTTCGAAGAAGTGATCTGTGCTTCTACAACTATGACAAATGTCGTAAATCTTACCCCTCATCCCTACCAAGTAAAAAATCACATGCATCTAAGTTAGTATACATAAGATCCCTAACACACTGATCAATAATACATCATTTTCATGCCAACTGTACAATGGTAAATGAACTCAACAATTGGACATAAAATGAGATCAAATCATGTACTACCGTAATTCATAGTGTAACAGGCAGAATCAAACAGCTCCCTGCTTCTTACAATACAATTTATCGGCAACAACCAAATTTCGAACAAATTGCAACTAACACGTTATACCAAAAAACTGAAATTCACCAACATAATCACAGCCTAACTAACTACATTAGACACACACGAAAAGATAAGTTTCAACACAGCCAACAACTGAATAATCCCTTTCACCATGTCTCAACAAGCAAGAAAATTATCCCATTTCAAAACTTCACCAACATCGGTGCGATAATTTGTAGGAAAAATCCAAAAACCTTACAATTTCGAACCATGTACAGTGGATGCAAAAAAATCCATAAATAATTTGTTCAAAATGCAAAAAATCTAACCTTCTCAAAATGCATAGCAGTCGGTTTATGTGTAAAGTCGTCGATGATAGCTGAAAAAGACAACGACACCGTCTCGAAAACGACAGCTTTCTCACGATTTTCTGCAGTCAATAATATGGCAGAGTTGAAGATATTGGATTATTTGATTTTTAACAGAACCGAAGCCGAATTCGAGACGACAACACCGATGACATCGACTCTATGTTTTCAGATTGAAGGAAAGCTGGAAAGATGAAGAATGGATGTGACCATGTGAGAAAGTGGGAGTGGTTGTGGTTTGTCCTGCCTTTTTAATTCAAACATTCATGTGATTTTGCGGATGAATCATATTCATTCAGTGAATTGGATTTTATTCTTATTTTATTGTTCAAAAAAAGGAATGTCACATCATCTGGAAAAATTCTGTGAACGCCTTTCTGTACAAGTAGCACTATTGATTTATATATACCTTAATTTGGGAGCAAACAGGCAAGGAATGCGGTAGCCCAAAAAATTATTTAGAAATGATGAAAAGTTACCGGAAGGTAAGAAATGAATAAAGGAGGATTATTTTAGTTTGGGGGTCAAACGCTCCATAATTTGAACTTCGAAAGAAAGCCGAATCAAAACGTTCACGCTACACACAATGCATAGGAAATACTCCCTATATCCAAGTGTCCCCTGTTTGATACGGATTAGAAAGAACGTAGAGTCAAAGTTAATAATTAATTTTAAAATCCTAAAAATCTAATTTTTTAATCCTAGCCTCCGACTTGGAGCGTGTGGTTCCGCTCTCTCGATCGATGAGAATTTGTGGCATTTCCCTTTCTGAAAAAGGTACATGGGCGGTTTAGTGGGCACCAAGTCGGTGTAGAGAGGCTGTTGCCACCGCATAACGCCGTTAGAATTAGTTTAGAATTACAACTGTTGACCTCGAGAATTGGACCTTTCACGCGGCCAATCGAGGGTTACTTCACGTGTTTCTTCCTGCGCACAATAGCAAACGATTAGACGCACACAACCTGAACTAGCGGGGGCAGTGGCGACTGCATACACTCCGACGGTCAAATCAGTGGACGGTAATTGAAACTGTGCCGAAATTGTACAAGAGTGGGGAGGAGAAAATATTGTACTTGTGTGTAGAGTGCCAAGTAGTTTAGAGTATGTTTTATTACCTCTGTCTATTGCCAAACCTTTGGTATTTATAAGTGAGAGGCATCATTGGATATGAGACACGTGTATGCATCTAACGATGTGAGAAGTTTTCTCGTAAGCGTCAATCAACCTCATTTAGAGGAGACGGGTAATTAACTCTTCTGAGTTATGAGTTAACATAAAGTTGAGATGTCACATCAATTAATCCATGAAGATAAAAGAGGATCCCGACACAAATATTTCTCTGAAATTGGTGGCGGAGAGACCTCTGTTGCAAAGTGTCTCGACATTCCTCGCACTTCAGTAAGAGGAGACTTCTTGGCAATTACTTGGGGTGATGTTTGTGCCTCCCAGCATGTTAACGTTGAGGTTCGAGCGAGATTAGTATTGCTTCGGAATGATATCAAATCACTTTGGAACCACTTCGACACGACACGTGGCACCTTGTTACCGAGTAGACTGGATTAGTGAGGGGTTTAACTACAGCAAACCCCTAATTTTCCATTTTTCTTTTGAAAGCTGCAATCTCTTATTCACCTTTACACTTTTCTGTGTTTATCTTTCTTGATTTCAACAAAAAGGGGCATTGGAATACTTGAGTACATTAATTTACCAGATCCTGTACTCCGATTAGATATTCTTTCCCAATTTCAGTGATCTCTCAATCTCAGGTTCCCACAAATCACCTTAGATCGAACTCTCTCGTTCTTGCAAATGGGTAAGCTTCAATTAGTTTCAATTTTTATGTAACATTTCAGTTTCATGTTATAACCAGCTAATTGACATTATAAAAACGATCAATTTAGTGTTGCGCTTTTATTATCAACTTTAATAAATAGTTTGGGATAGAATTTAATTTACTTCACAACGTAATTATTTATTATTATCGCAGTACGTTTCTTGTTTTGTGCTTAACTGCTTTTCAGTTATTGTTTCTTGTTTAAATAGGTCAAATATCTTCTGTTAAAGTTTTTGATTTGGAATAATTTTGTGTAAGTTTTATAAAGTTGATTTATTTATTCAGCGTGATTGATACTTGATATGAAAGTTGAACTTACATTTTACTCGCTTCCTTCTGTTTTAACTGAGTTTTGGAAATCATGCATGATGTTCAAAGTGGAAATTGAAATTTTTGCCTACATTACTTAAATAAAGAACTATTTGAATCTTGCAATCATAATAAATGGTGGACAAAATAAATTTAGGAATATGCTCAACCGAGCTTCTGACATCTCTTGATTCAGTTAAGGTTTTTTTCCACCTGCTTTCAACAATATCTCCATATAATTCCAGCAGTCATGATGTTTTAATTTCTCTCTCGAGAATGACAAAAAAAATTCTTTTCTTTGAAAGGTTTAAATTATTTTTTTGTCATTGTATTTGTTTGTTTTTTGTTTTCAATTAACTTATGCATGTATTCTATATGATGAAACCTGAGAAAGGGGTTCTGCCCAAGTTTTGTTTGCTTATTGTTAATGTAGTTCCTATACCATCTATCCAGATAAAAGTTGTTCAACTCACCTCATAGATGGGGACGGTACTTTCAATGTCTCTGGAATTGACAATTTAATGAAGGAAGTTAAACTTGCCGAATGTGAACTTTCTTATGCCGTAGTCTCCATCATGGGTCCCCAAAGTAGTGGTATGAATTTGGCTCTAAAGACACCTCTTTATTTCTCTCGTCAGTTCGGCATGTGTTAATTGCAGCCTACTTGATTATGGTTTTTTGCATGAATCGTATACCTTAATGACTCCATTTGGCTTCTTTCACTTTTCTTTGTTTTATATGTATTTTTTCTTCCCTTTCCACTCTATTTAGCATCCCAAAATTCTGCTCATAATATGAAGGTTATTATGTTCTGATCAGTGGTTGAAAAGGTTGTCGGGTATGGAGGCATTTTTTCTCCATAAGCCAAGGAGTAAGTTTCAAAATAGACCTAAAATAATTCAAATAATATTGAAAATTAAAAATTATACTTGCAATAGACCATAAATCATCAGAAAAGAACCTATCAACAAAATTAGAAGTCTAATATGCTACTAGAAGCATGAAATGGATTAAAAAATAATAACTTAACAATCTAGTGATAAAATAACAAGACCATTAATTCACTACAAAAGCTACAAGTCTAAAATAAATGAAACAACTGACCAACTATTTAAAGATTTTGCTTTCTTGGATTTAGAAATGAAAGTGAGTCTCGATGAAAGAAAACACAAACATAAAAGAAAGAGAAGAAGAATGAATTTACATGATGCAGGTCTCTTGCTGCGACAGAAAAGTTGCAATATCACTTAGGGCATCATGCTTCAGTTGTAGGAGTTAGAGGGGTAAGACAGACGGGCTTTTCTCGTATTCTCTTTTCTAATCTTCAATAATTTTAGAGTTGGATTGTGTCCTAAACATTTTTAAAAAATCCTATGAAAACTATCCCTAAAAGCCAAGGCTGGTAAAGCACAAATAGTTTAGAAAAAGGTTGGTTAAGGAGATTCAACCATCATGGTTGATGTCCCAGAGACATGCATTTCAGTAAATAAAGATATAAAAGGCACTCAAAGTGTATGCTAATTAAAACCTTGTAATGGGTGCACCTCGAACGCCTTTTAAAACACCGGTTATTATTGTGTTGGCCAGTTCTTTCCTGCATGAATTAGTATGAAAATTCTTCTATGATTTTCACAGGGAAGAGTACACTGTTAAATCACCTATTTGGTACTAATTTTAGGGAGATGGATGCTTTTAAGGGGAGGTGGGTGCTTCTAAAGATTGCTGTCACTTATTTGCTAGCTATTAGATTTAAATAAACTGACAGCATATGGATTTCCCCAGGTCTCAAACCACAAAAGGGATATGGATGGCACAATGTGTTGGGATTGAACCTTGCACTCTTGTAATGGATTTAGAGGGAACTGATGGAAGAGAACGAGGAGAGGTACTATGTTAAACACGTCTACATAATGACTTTATGTTTACGTGGTGAGTTGTTCATATATGGGTTATTGTCATTGTTATAACTCTTATGTTTTGGAGATATATGATTTAACGACGACATCTGTGTCTGCTGTTGGCAATAATATGTGAGGCCATTAATATTATGATTTGCAGCTGCTACTCAGATTTCATTTGGTTTTTGGAACCATGTCTTTGCTGTCTCCTGTGTCATTTGAAATTGCTATTTAATTTATGTTATGTTGTCATTTGGCGCTTCATTTTCAATCCTTCCAAGCAAACCTCAGATTGCCTATCAACATAACTCTGGGACAGATTCAATTATGAGTTTCTGTCACATAATTCACATCCTTGGACACTATGATCATCTTCCTTTGAGTGATCACTTTGAAATTATCTTTCTAGGATAAATGGACTTTTATCTACATCTCGATCATGTATTGGAATTCATTTATTAATTCACACATTTTAGTAACCTTGGACATTCCAGCTTTTGTAAATTGCTTATTAGCTCTTAATTCAATTATTAAGAGCCTGTTTGATAAATCTTTTGGAGATTTCAAGTTGGTGTGTCCCATGACCGTGTGGTTAAAAAGTGAATACTACTCGCGTGTCTATTAGAATATGTGGTTGGTTGAAGTTTTGACCCGTTGAAAACCCTCATGCACACGGGATCGTGATCAAGTAATATAATGGTGAATTAAGTGTTGAACCTACGAGAATTATGTGTTTGATAGAGTTAAAGCTATTAATATCCTTAATCGAATAGCAATATTGAGCTGTAATAAATCTGTCTAATTTATCAACTAACTAGAAAGCAAAGTAAAAGCTTGTAAAATTTGTGAGATGTATTGCTAAAATGTAAAATCCCCTTGTTATTCCATCTTTAGTCCAACAATTAGAGTGACACATTGATATCATGCAAGTTTGTCAATGTTCCTAATTTATTTGAAAACTTTTCTCGATAGCAATCAAATCTAATCTTACACATAACATTTCTATATCTTTATTAAAGATTCCAACATGCAAGAAAGCGTTAAACAAGCTACAACATCTATAGAAACCATTTGAAATGTAGAGGTATGTCTCTATCCTCTATTGAACCTTACAATGCTTATTACTACGTGCTAACGATTCTATTATCTCTCTCAATGACAATAAATTCCACAAACAATTCAACTAATGGCCAATTAATTGAAAAGCAAGCTAAATCATAATAAACATCCA